GGAGGTGCATTAGCTGCTTCTTCTGGATCCATTTTGAATTGGAAGGTGAATGATTTAGCCATTTCAGAAAATTTGCAACCCTGATCAGGTGTCTTCTTCGGCGAGGAAAGGTCAAGAGCTTGTTCTTCAGCAGCGTTTTGATTCAGATTACTGCCAAACACGAATCCAACAGATGTTGGTTTTGGAGCTCCAAATGTATATCCAGTAGAAGCAGGAGGGCTGGAGACAGCACCACTAACATCGCCTCCTCCAAAGGTGAACTGTGGCAGAGATTTTCCTGACTGACCAAATGAGAAAGTTTTTGCAGGTGCAGGTGATGTGGCATAAACTTTTGTAGGTGCTGTGGTACTTGGTTGTCCATTGCTATCACTCTTTCCAAGTAACTGTTCTAATGAAGTATTTCCCAATTTGAAAGAACTACTAGTAGTAGAAGACGCAAATGAACTGGAGGCTTCTGGTTGGGCACCAGGCTGGTGGGTTTGACATGCTGGGCATTTTTTATGTTCTGCTGTATTCTGACACAAACAAGTAGGACAAGACCAGACTCCTGCTTTAGGCTTGAACATTTCTGATAAACTCTGAAAAATCAAAATTAAATAAATTCACTTAATTTTCATTACAAGTTTTTAATGTTTGAAAATTTGAAAAGCATGTTTTGAGGTTTCGACATCACATAAAGAGAATAGGCAAAACGATATTTACCGTTGTTTTGTCCTTTTTATCAGCATCATTAGTGGTAGTAGCAACAGCAGTAGGAGATGAGGGTTTTTGTTGAGTTGAAGATGCCAATTTAGTTGACTCACTACCAAATGAAAAACCACCAGTTGGTTTGCTGCTACCAAATGAGAATCCGCTGGTTATTTGTGGTTGGCTACCACCAAATGCCTGTCCAAATGTGAAGCCAGAATTTTGACTAGGCTTGTCACTGTCACTTCCCCCAAAAGTGAACCCAGAGGTTTGGGGTGAAGAAATTGTTCCTCTGAACCTGAAACCACCAGTTGCACTTGCTGGTTGTGGCTGGGATGGTGTAGAAGTGGTTGCCTGTGTTGTTGGTACTACCCCTGGTTTTGGTGTGGCACATGCAAGGCATTTAACAGTTCCTGGAGGGTTGGAAACTAAGCAGGTGTCACAATTCCAGCTTCCTGGTTTTGGTTTGAACTTTTCAGCCAAACTCTGAAAATAAATCAAATTGTAAATGAAAATCTGTGATA